TAAATGCTGGTGGGTGCTGGGAGCATTGCTCGGGAAGGGAGGCTGCGCTGAAGACGCGCTGGAACTGTGCGGTCTGCACTGAATGTGTGGCATGAGCACTGGTGCAGAGAGGCACAGGGGTAGAGAGTGCCTTCTGTTGTCTTGCTCACCAGGAAAATTCTGATAGAGCAATTTGATTTTTTGGAATAAGTGAAGAAGGTAATTTTATAGTGGCATCCCTGCCAAAACCCTTGAAAGTTCCTACCATATCGAAATGTCTAAAGGAGACGGTATTTAATGCTAACTTGCTTTCTTATAAGCCTTTTTGGAAAAGATTGCAGTGGTGGTTGCGTTTGTGTGTAACAGCTGTATCATTTATTAGGTCTAAGTGATTGATTATATCCAGGCATGCTTCCCAGATTTCTAGCTTGGTTCTTTGAGACATTGCTTCTGTTGTCCCATCAGTGGTTTATGGCTCCATAAGCCAAAACTTACATGATGGTTTTGATTTTTGGAAAACTTCATTAATCAAATACTGGCTTTTCAATACCAGAAGAGGTTTGAATCCAGCTCCTCCATATCTGAGATCCCCCCCTCAATCCTGCGCCTGTGTAAGTGACTCCATTCATGTAGTTTCCAATAGCTGTTTAAATCTAAAAGATGGGCAGAGCAGCAGCATGATTACACAACTGATAGGTCACCCTTCACTTCCCTGAGCCTTTACCAGAGATACAGGTTACTGAAGGCTGCCATGCGCAATTGCCTTTTTGCCTTCAGCCCGTGGACTGAGTGCTAACTCATTTCCGTTATCACAAGTAGCACAACGTAAATCAGCAGTAGTAGATTGTTGGAGAATGTCTATTTAAAGCAAATGCTTTAGTAATTATGGAGAAGGCTTTAACGATATCCCTAGCTGATGATCTTTTCTTTTGAATAGTTCCAGATGTCTGAGCATCATGTGCAAGAGTCAAGAAAGTGGAAAAACAAAACTAAACAATCTGTGCTTTCAGAGGTTTTAGTTTTTTCTTTTTGTCTTTTCAGTGGGTTCTATATGTTTGTTTGAGGCAAATACAGGCTTATTGTGCTCAATTTTTTCCTGGAATCATTTCTATACTCATATCTAAGTCATGAATTTCTTATCAGTGTTTGTGTTAAGTAGTTTAATATGATGGGAAGGAACAGCCCATCTGAATCTAATTTTTCCTCTTCTGTGCTCAACAAGTATCTGAATGCAGAACTGGAATTGAAGTTTGCTTTCACCCTGGTCCAAATGCACCCAATTTTCTCTGTTGATTTAATACGGTTTGTAGCGCTGACACTAAGTGCGGAAGGGATCTCTGGACCTCCCTCCCAAAGTCACATCACTGGGAGCAAGAGTAAGACTGGCTTCTTTGCAAATCAGATCTATTCCAGACACTTGTATCTTTGAAAAACCTTGGCCATCAGATGAAAGCACAAATGTTTTTGTAAAAGGCAGTTGTGTTTGACTGGCTCTGTGTATCTCTCCAGTCGGGGTGACCAGATCCTGGAGGCAGATTCAGTGAGCCTGCGTCACGCAGCGTTAAGCGAAGCCTATGCCATCCTAAGCGAATGCGGTCCAGGTCCGGTCAGCCTTATCATTAGCCGGCACCCTAACCCAAAGGTGAGTTAGTGTTAGTGTATCTGGGGTGGTTTTCTTTGGTGCTGTAATTTGAGTTGTGCTGTCGGGAAAGCAGCAAATGAAGAATATTGGGGTTTTTTTCTCTCTGTGGCATGTGCTGTGCAAGAAGTCAGGATTGTAATGATGCCTTCCAGTTTTGCAAGTTGTAGCAATGCTGGACTGTCCCCGATGCTTTTCACTTAGTCACCCACTGATCAAATGCAATTTTCCTGGAACTACTTGAGTGAAGTGTTCCCATCTTTCTTGGCAATGCAAATACGGCACAAGTCCTCTTCCTCAAAATCAGTTTGTCTTTGAGTAGAATATTTTTTGGGGCCAGGAATATAAATATCAACAGATTGAACTGATCAACTACAATAAGGTAGTAGGAATACTGTTTTTTAAAAAGTAAAATCTGTCCAAGGATCAAAGTTTTCCTTCAGGAATTAAAACGTGAGAATCTGGAACATACTGCTACTGCAGGGGCAATTTGGAAATAAGGCTGTGTTTACAAAGTGAGTATTTTCAAGTGATTTTAAAAAATTGATGGTAGAAGATAAAAGCCTTTTAGCCAAGCTATAGGGAATAACAACTTCTTTTATTTCAATATTTCAAAGAATTTCTTGAGTGTACAAAACCTTCCTGTTTAAACAGGAATGAAGCTGTAAAAATATTTGCATTAGTGGGTCCAGAGAGCTCTGACTTTTGAACTCGTAACTACAAATGGAGGCCTTAATAAATCCATATCTAGGGGAACTCAGGTTTCTTACTTTATAATTAATTGTGTGCTTTCTGGTAAATCAAATATACAAACAATAGACAAATAGGAGTCTACTGCCCAGAGCTTATTGTCATTGCTGCAAGGTCTTGTGCTGCTAAAAAGAAAGAGGCTGTGGTTCTGTTAGTTAAAGGTAAGCATGGAGGGGGTAAGAATTGGGCTTAGAGCCTAAGACAACAGTACTTCTAGGGAGTCTGTATGCTGTGCTGAACCAGCACGATGGTTCAATTTGATTGCATTATTAAGGCATATAGACTTTTTGGAGAGTCTGTAAGTGCCATGAAATAAAGACCCCATGGAGTGGAGCCTGCCCTCTCTCCTCCATCCTTCGTCTTGCTGTCATGGTGGCTTGAAAGCCCATGAGTGACCTAACCAGGTATCTGCTGAGAAGATGAACTGAGTTAAGCTAATTGCTTGCTATTACTCAGTAACAGAGGGAAACTATTAAGTGGCTCCTATTACAGTTTTCCATAAGTGATATTTAAAATGACAACAAATCCTTTGCCAAGAAATGCTAAGAAAAGCTAAAAGTGGAGCTGGAGAGACCCTAAAGCATTTCTTCCCCTTAGGCAGTATTGAATCTACAGTCCCTCATAGTGGATCTCTGAAGGAGTGTCCGTACAGGGACCCATTATTTATCGTTATATCACTGTCACCCTTTTTCTGACAGCTCTGGGGGATCTACTGAAGGGTGTGTGGTATTTGATTGTATTTTATTAGCTCTAATACCCCAGCCTGCAGATTGTAGTTAGGAATTAGCTTGTCCCTCTCCAGTTTGATCTGCCTGAGGCATAGAGGATGCTAAAGTTGGCAGAGCTTGCTGAAGCATGGATTTTTGGTTAGCTCTAAACAAATACTGCAGCCTGCCCAGCACCTAGTTTTACTCTTGGGACATCTTGTACCCAAAGGTTTGTGTGAAGGTCCTGGAGCATACACTCAGGGCTTGGTCCATGTCCTGTAGGAACTCCCTGTGCCCAGGAGCCCAGAGGCTGTTGGTTTGCTGTAATGTCATGCCACAGGCTGAAAACAGAGATGTATTTCTACAAAGGCTCATGTTGTTTTAGACATTTTTATACTTAATGTCTCATTTTATGACACAAAAGGTTCATAGTACATTTTGTTGCTGAATATGTTCACTTTGGTGTTTTCATGTACTTCCAAGAGAAATACCACAAAATTTTCTTTCTTCTTGTTATTCTGAGTGAATGTGGCATTTAAACTATGTTTAAACTGCTGTGTTTGCTTAGGAATCTTTCAAATCTTCATAGTTCAGAAAGATTCAAGTTTCTTGTCTCTATTTATGCTGAATTTTAATTCATGTAAAGCAGCGTGTATAGAAATCATTTTCAACAGAATTAACTTGCTTTCTGTTTTTAAATACATATTCCTTCAGACTAGTTGTTCCTGTTATAAAATTATATGGAATTTTCCAGTATTAAGAATTAAGTGCATGGCAGTAATTCAGGACAAAATTAGCAAATATGGTAAACCGGTATTTATTCTTAAACCAGAGAAACATTAATTACCAGTTACTGATTTAGGTTTTCTTTTTAAAAGCAAGGAGAAATGAAAATTAAAAAGGCAGCTAATATCTCGGGAAGTCTGGTATTCTTCCGGTAGGTTAAGTGTAGAACATCTTCTGTTGCTGATGTATGCTTGTACAAAGCAGCCTTTGTCTATTTGGAAGTAATACTTTCTCAATAAATCAATGTACAGCAGTTAATTGAGTTAAAATTGTGCTGCAATGGCTTCATTTAATTTCTTTAAGTCTAGTGCTGTTTTATTTGTTTGCATAATGTGGCACTTGGATGTGGTATTCATGAAATCAGTAGGCTTCTGCCTCCTGGTTTCTGCCGGAGAGTGGCATGGAGGGAGACTGAATCAGGGGACCAGGACTTAGGAAATCTCAGCGAGGTTTTCTTTACTGCATCTTTAAAAATAGTAGCATATCTGAAATTAATCATGTCTTTGTAGCGATAAGTGGTCAGACTTCCATCTTCATTTCATCTGCCTGGTTTGATCTCTGTCTTCCACTTGACTTTAGGTTTCTGAGCAGGAGATGGATGAAGCAATCGCGCGTACTACCCACCGAGAGAACAAGGATGCCAGCTCCTCTCATGTTACAGGTAGCAGCATGTTCTCTCCTAAAATGTGTCCTTTTCCAGACACAACAAGGTTTAAGGACATGGTCTTGGTTTCCCCAGCATTGGTATTTTGAAGGCCCTCAGAACAGTTTAGGGGGTGTAATCACTCTGTCCACTGCAGAAATTTTAGCAAAACCATCCGGTTCAGGTGGATCATTTCTATAGCTCATGAAACTTGCTTTGTTTCGCTAGGCTGCTGTGATCTAAAAGTACGGTTGCCAAGAGATGGTTGCTCTGTCCTCTGTGGATGGGTGAGATGGACAATGTCCCAGTAGGGAA